TTTTCACCTTTGTAGATGTTAATACGCACATTTTGAATTTAGTGCTGAAGGTTGATTTGAAAAAAATCGTAAATCGAATTGAAATCGTAATTCCTGACAAATAAATCGCAGTTCAATCTTTTCCTAAAATCGTTCAGCCCTAGTGCATGGAGGTCAGGGCATGGCAGGATCGTGACAGACTCAGTCTCTGGTTGCTCTTTTATGAGTATTATTTTCGGGCTACTGTCGCCGTAACCCACGCCTTACAAACTCTTAACTTTTTCAACAGAATTGCTCGCAACGGAGTATTTACTAGTATAGCATACCAGAGCGGGGCAAAAATGGAACCGGAGCAATATTTCTCACCTGTTAAGCTCGCCTTCAAAATAAAACGTTTGCCCTAAAGTTTACTATTCAAACCCTTACAATACGTTTGAGGTCATTTGGCCACTCCGGCTATCCGTAGATGTTTCCCATCAAATCAAATCAAACTTTATTTATATAGCACTTTTCATGCATAGGATTCAACACAAAGTGCTTAACAGATTAAAATGACCCATATAACCCACATTCTCTCCCTTTCCCACACTTAAAAAAATTGTGACATTATGTGTGAGGGAGGGGGGTGTTTGGCTCATCTCTCTGGCGCCGCACAAGCAGGATGGAAAATAGAACTCCGTTGGCGTTGAACGTCCCCAAATAATTAAACGTTAGAATGCCAAATGCAATGTTTAGAGCAGTACATTTACCCAGAGGCTCCCAGATTGAGCAAACTTGTGAGAATACACATAATAACTGCTTAGAGACAGAGCAACATGTGACTAGCATAGCGGCTAATCGCTAGCATGGCAGTTTGACCAGTTATATCGATATAAAGATATAAAGTCATATTGTATCTTGTTTTAAAATTACATCGATATTTTAAAAATATCGATATATCCCCAGCCCTAGTCATTGGCATCTTTAAGATTTTGGGGTATAGAAGCTGTTACCCTTCCTTCTAGAGGTGGTAATTTACCACCTTTTGTGCAGAGAAGCTTTCTGGATCTACACCCTTAACACTGTAGAACCACATGGACTTAATGATGGACTGAGCCTGTTTGGTTTTCTATAAAGGGTGGTTGCATTTTCATTAGTGTTTGTTATACACTGCTATTTATCTCTATTGTATTTATTTGTTTTTAATCTGATTCTGCTATGTGTTGCTTATGATATGGCTGGATGTTTTATAAATCAGTGATGAGCTAATTATGAATTTATTGTGTCATTTTGTTACTGATTGGTAATATATTAACGTGGCTCCTCCCCCTGCTTGTTTGACTAATGAAGAACACGTTTTTTGTTTAACTGACCAGCCAACACATGTGTATATATGGATCTCAGAAAACAGTGAACTGTAACTCTGAAGAAGACATAATCTGTCGAAATGTCAGTTCTGTTTGTTTTGCACCTATTTAAGTGCTGAGGACCAGTTTGCTCCAGCCATACTTTATCTTCTACATTTGATGTCCCATGGGCTGTCGGAGCACCTGATGTCCTCTGGATGATGCGCAGCGTGCTCTTCTATTACATGTTTTTTTGTACTTGTTGATACAGTTGGAATTATTTTAATTTTATCAGCCATTCAGAAGTTATGATGCAGAGAATCTAAAGTGAGAAATATCAAACATCTGTGATTCTTTGTTGTGAGTTTCTCTAACTTCACTTAAGAAGTCTCTCTCATGTCAACTTTTCTGTCTCAGACATGCTGCTACCTGACTCTGCTCCACACACACTAACCACGTACTTAAATGTTAATGTAAACAAAAGCTCTGATATTAAAATCAGTGATGTGATGCAGGGAGAATAAAAACTCACGGGTAGATGAACGCAGACTCCTGCCGACAAGCAAAACACCAGTCTTAGTCGTCTCCATCTCCATGGGTGAGTTAGAGCGACAGCAGGGACAACCAATCACATGTTAGCATGACGCGGCAGAGCCAGTTAGTGAGCTTGTGTGCGGGTCTAAGGGAACATAGTCTTCAGCCTGAGGCGGTTGCCTCCACATTGTCCTAGTGCCCAACTTGTATCCAAGTATGAATGTTTTGGATGGTAAAATCTGAGGGTAGACCGGAAAAAGGACACTTTCGTCTGTGTTAGCTAACTGCTGCGTGTTGTGGTCCGTGAATTCCAGGACTTCCTTAAATTGTGGGACTTACGGCTGTTGTTATCTGTGAAACAAAGCCTAAGTCATGCCTATCTACTCCCGGACCATGGGTCCCCAGAAGAACAAAGAAATTAATACAAGTCAACGGGGCTAAAAACGCTATTTTGTAATTCCGCTTGTTTCGTACCATGGATTTTACATGGCGTCCATGAATTTTAAAGACGCATTTTGATACTAAGAAAGAGTTTATTTTTGAACAGGAGAAACGTTATTTTAGGTTTTGTGTGAAAAAAAGTCCAGGACTACAAATGCACTTAAATTTTCTAGGGCCATAGCCACCCCTGGCCACTCCTTGGGGGCGCCATTGAACACAGGCAGTAAGTTTAGCATTTTAAACAGAATCAGCTCAGATGATAAACTGAAGCAATACAGGGCTTCAGGAGCTTCTCTCCATTAGAGCTGGAGGTCAGATTACTAAAGACCAAACAGTAACTTCAGAGGACAGACACCTTTAGGAGTGGCTTGTTAAAAAAACTTAGTGAGCGCGAGGCTTTAATCGCAACAAATTGTTTTGTCCAAGTTAAAGGGAAGTCTGCGGCAGCGCAGAGATCGCCTCCATACCCCCTTCAACCCATTGTGTAAACTTTTGAAAAAGGGCCACGATTGCACCACAAGGTCAGACCACCTACAAACAACCTAAGGCTCCCAGATGATGCCATAGCATTGTGGTGAATTGGCAGCATTGTTTTCTAAAAGAGATGTGAGGAGATGAAGGTGTGGATAACAATCAAGTTCAGAGCATGACAGAATTGGCCTCAGCTTAGCAATGTTCCTAAGATGGCAGAAAAAGGCCTGAACAAGAGAACAGATGTGAGAATCCAGGTTGAGAGCTGGGTCGAAGTTCACACCAAGGTTCCTGACAGTGGATTTGGTGTGAGAAGCAAGCTGACCTTGAAAGTCTCTGACTTTGGGAACCATTTTGTCTGGGGAACGATGAAGATCACGGTCCAAGGTGCTATACACTACGGCAGTGGTACTCCGTTGGCGGCTCTCCGCTTTCTGACTCCCCGGACCGGACCTTTCACCCTGTTACAGTGTTAACAAGGGGACTGCCATAGTGTCAGCTCCACTTACTCTACAGGTGCTGGCCAGTAAATTAGAATATCATCAAAAGGTTGAAAATATTTCAGTAATTCCATTCAAAACATGAAACTTGTACATTATATTCATGCAATGCACACAGACCAATGTATTTCCAATGTTCATTACATTTAAATTTGATATTCATAAGTGACAACTAATGAAAACTCCAAATTTGGTATCTCAAAAAATTAGAATATTCTGAAAAGGCTGAATATAGAAGACACCTGCTGCCACTCTAATCAGCTGATTTACTCAAAACACCTGCAAAGGCCTTTAAAAGGTCCCTCAGTCTTGTTTTGAAGGCACCACAATCATGGGGAAGACTTCTGACTTAACAGCTGTCCAAAAGACAATCATTGACACCTTGCACAAGGAGGGCAAGACACAAAAGGTGATTGCTAAAGAAGCTGGCTGTTCGCAGAGCTCTGTGTCCAAGCACATTAAAAGACAGGCGAAGGGACGGAAAAAATGTGGTAGAAAAAAGTGTACAAGCTCTAGGGATAACCGCACCCTGCAGAGAATTGTGACGACAAACCCATTCAAAAATGTGGGGGAGATCCACAAAGAGTGGACTGCAGCTGGAGTCAGCGCTTCAAGAACCACCACGAGGAGACTCATGAAAGACATGGGATTCAGGTGTCGCATTCCGTGTGTCAAGCCACTCTTGAACAAGAAACAGCGCAAGAAGCGTCTCGCCTGGGCCAAGGACAAAAAGGACTGGACTGATGCTGAGTGGTCCAAAGTTATGTTTTCTGATGAAAGCAAGTTCTGCATTTCCTTTGGAAATCAAGGACCCAGAGTCTGGAGGAAGAGCGGAGAAGCACAGAATCCACGTTGCATGAGGTCCAGTGTAAAGTTTCCACCGTCAGTGATGGTGTGGGGTGCCATGTCATCTGCCGGTGTTGGCCCACTCTGTTTCCTGAGGTCCAGGGTCAATGCAGCCGTCTACCAGGAAGTTTTAGAGCACTTCATGCTTCCTGCTGCTGACCAACTTTATGGGGATGCAGACTTCACCTTTCAACAGGACTTGGCACCTGCACACAGTGCCAAAACCACCAGCACCTGGTTCAAGGACCATGGTATCCCTGTCCTTGATTGGCCAGCAAACTCGCCTGACCTTAACCCCATAGAAAATCTATGGGGTATTGTGAAGCAGAGGATGCAATACGCTAGACCCAACAATGCAGAGGAGCTGAAGACGACTATCAGAGCAACCTGGGCTCTCATAACACCTGAGCAGTGCCACAGACTGATCGAGTCCATGCCACGCCGCATTACTGCAGTTATTGAGGCAAAAGGAGCCCCGACTAAGTATTGAGTGCTATACATGCACATTCTTTTCATGTTCATTCTTTCCAGTTGGCCAACATTAGAGAAACAAACATTTTTTCATTGGCCTTTAGAATATTCTAATTTTCTGAGATACCAGATTTGATGTTTTCATTGGTTGTCACCTATAAATATCAAAATTAAACGTAATAAACATCGGAAATACATTGGTCTGTGTGCATTGCATGAATATAATGTACAAGTTTCACGTTTTGAATGGAATTACTGAAATATTTTCAACCTTTTGATGATATTCTAATTTACTGGCCAGCACCTGTAATAGCCGTCACCGGACCAGACCTTTCAGTTGGATCGTTAAATGAGTTAGAATGTTACAGGAGGACCAACACATAACAGTCATATCACTGGTTCAGTCATCTTGTTGAATTTTGAACAGCACCACCTTCATAGGTGCAGTAGTAGAAAACATTGAGAGCTTCCACAGCCTCCTCTCCTCTCTGTTTGCAGCCAAATATCAGGTCAATCCACTGGTGGAGGTGACTGGACACGTACTCCGATTCCTAAACAAATTTTATAGAGATGTTTTATCTTGATGATGAGCCTTCTGTGCATGAGTAAGTTTTACAATTGTGTAATTTTTTTGGCTCACCAAGGCTTTCCTGTGTTTTCTGATGAAGTCTTCCCTTGAAGTTGCCCAGCAAGGCAGCTCCACGTCAGTCACCAGGTCTTGAGATATCTGTAAACGGCCCAGGTCAAAGCCTACAGCCACAGACAGGATATTTATCTTTCTTCCAAACAATAAATCACGTTGATCTTTTAGTGTGGTGCAACTAACCATTCAGGTTCTGCAGGAATTCTGGGAAGTAGAAGAACTCGGGAATGAGCTCTTTGACATCAGCTGGGCTCTCCATGCGGGCCTGCCAGGCTGCTGGTATCGAGTGGAATTGTCTGTCTGCAACATCAAACCTAAACAGTCCCCAAAACAGCAACATAAAGGCATAAGACCAGCAAGATACTTGATTTAATCTTACCAATTACTGGTCAACCTTACCTGCCACTCTGCAGCTGGATGTGCAGCGTGGTGAAAGGCTCCATGCGGATCATGTAGTGCATGACTCCTGCTGCATTAGAGTAGTGTGTGCCATAGTGGAACTTGTCTATGGTTCCTGTTGGGTCTTCAAAGCTCTCATACCTACAGGGAGTGCAGAATTATTAGGCAAATGAGTATTTTGTCCACATCATCCTCTTCATGCTTTCTTTTGGCACTCACAGAGCACAGTCGCTTCTGCTTTGCTCCCTTATCTTTTTCCCAAGGCTCTTTTTGTCCCGTCTGTCTACAGAGCGCTTCTCTGCATTTCCTCTGGAAATCACTATTTTTCAGAAATGGATTTAATTAATTGGTCATTCTACGCGATTGATAAGATTTTTTCTACGATGAGAACGGAGGAGGGGGCTCGCGCTTGCCCTCACGGGACACATGCAGCGGGATATATGCTCGATTCCTGGAAGAAGTGGAATGGCATCTGTCTCTCTCAGCTGACTGTTGAGGACGTCGAAGATGTGTGGATATTTGGCCTGATGATCACTGGATTTCTTCTAATTGGAATGGGAGGATATCTGATTTTCCAAAAAATTGGGATGACGGGAGCGATTGGAGGGCGACCCGCACCCATGGACGGCACCGTCCAGGCGGAGACCTCACAGACTGGGACGTTACTCGAGGTGAATCGCAAGCTGGACAATGTCTTAGCTGCGTTACCGGTGTTAGTGCACAAAATGGATGTCATCTCGGAGAGGGTCACCGGACGGTGTGGAGATGTTTAATCACCGAATTGGCTTCACTGGAGGACTTGAATGATCAATACAGACTTTAAGGCAGAGAGGAAAATTATCCCTGCCTGACCCAAACAAAGTCGTGTTATCCAATCTGACGCCATAAGCAGCCTTGGAGCTGCGTGCAACAACCCCCACGATGGAAGGAATGCAGACAAATGCTGTGAAACCCTACCTACCCCCCCGCCTTCAGATTGTGGTCTCTGCATCGAGGTCATCAAGATGGAGGCACTCACTGTGCTCTGTGCTTTCCCTTGACCTCCCACCCACCTGTGGATTCAGTTGGCTGAGCGCCACATAAGCTGCTTCTGCTGAGGAAACCAGGATCCCAGCCCCCCCCCCCCCCCCCCCCCCAATCGGGTCTCATGTTGTGAACTGTGACGTTCGTGCTTATATGTTGAGGTGTTTTTTGCATAGTAGAGCTACACCCTGCCGGTGTAACTCTGTTAATACCTTTTTCTCCCTCCCCGAACTCTCCTCATGTAATCCCCTCTTCATCTATGGAAATGAGCGCCGTTGTGGCTGCTTTCGTGGTCTACCTGTATCTGTCCTATCTATATGTGTGTGTGTAATCTTGGTCAGGCTGTTCTGTGGAGTCAAGTTCCTATGCTCTGGTTTGCTGGCAATAAAATTCTCTCTGATTCTCCGATTCTGATTCAGATTCTCTGGTCCATGCATGTTGTCTTACTCCAAGCTGTATAGGCTCGAAAGCCTACTACCAATTAAGCATATTAGATGATGTGCATCTCTGTAATGAGAAGGGGTGTGGTCTAATGACATCAACACCCTATATCAGGTGTGCATAATTATTAGGCAACTTCCTTTCCTTTGGCAAAATGGGTCAAAAGAAGGACTTGACAGGCTCAGAAAGGTCAAAAATAGTGAGATATCTTGCAGAGGGATGCAGCAGTCTTAAAATTGCAAAGCTTCTGAAGCGTGATCATCGAACAATCAAGCATTTCATTCAAAATAGTCAACAGGGTCGCAAGAAGCGTGTGGACAAACCAAGGTGCAAAATAACTGCCCATGAACTGAGAAAAGTCAAGCGTGCAGCTGCCAAGATGCCACTTGCCACCAGTTTGGCCATGTTTCAGAGCTGCAACATCACTGGAGTGCCCAAAAGCACAAGGTGTGCAATACTCAGAGACATGGCCAAGGTAAGAAAGGCTGAAAGACGACCACCACTGAACAAGACACACAAGCTGAAACGTCAAGACTGGGCCAAGAAATATCTCAAGACTGATTTTTCTAAGGTTTTATGGACTGATGAAATGAGAGTGAGTCTTGATGGGCCAGATGGATGGGCCCGTGGCTGGATTGGTAAAGGCCAGAGAGCTCCAGTCCGACTCAGACGCCAGCAAGGTACAGGAAGAAGTCTGCATCCTTCAAGAAAAACATGATTTTCATGCAGGACAATGCTCTATCACACGCGTCCAAGTACTCCACAGCGTGGCTGGCAAGAAAGGGTATAAAATAAGAAAAACTAATGACATGGCCTCCTTGTTCACCTGATCTGAACCCCACTGAGAACCTGTGGTCCATCATCACATGTGAGATTTACAAGGAGGGAAAACAGTACACCTCTCTGAACAGTGTCTGGGAGGCTGTGGTTGCTACTGCACGCAATGTTGATAGTGAACAGATCATAGCACTGACAGAATCCATGGATGGCAGGCTTTTGAGTGTCCTTGCAAAGAAAGGTGGCTATACTGGTCGCTGATTTGTTTTTGTATGTCAGAAATGTATATTAGGTAATGTGGAGATGTTATATTGGTTTCACTGGTAAAAATAAATAATTGAAATGGGTATATATTTGTTTTTTGTTAAGTAGCCTAATAATTATGCACAGTAATAGTCCCCTGCACACACAGATATCCCCCTAAAATAGCTACAACTAAAAACAAACTAAAAACTACTTCCAAAAACATTCAGCTTTAATATTAATGAGTTTTTTGGGTTCATTGAGAACATGGCTGTTGTTCAATAATAAAATTATTCCTCAAAAATACAACTTGCCTAATAATTCTGCACTCCCTGTAATGATGCAAAGATGGCAGAATAGGATGATTAATGTGTTTTGAATTAATTACCCTCTCCTAATTCTTGTCAAGCATGAAGATCTTTTGTACATTGGGAGTGGCCATTTTTACTGCTTTTATCTCCAATTATCCATCCATCCATCCATTTTCAGCCACTTATTTGGAGTCAAGTCATGAGGGCAGCAGCCTAAGCCAAGCACCCAGACTTCTCTCTCCTCAGCTACTTGGGCCAGCTCCATCGGGGGAATCCCAAGGCATTCTGTGGCCAGCCAAGAGACATAGTCCCTCTAGCATGTCCTGGGTCTTCCCTTGGGTCTCCTCCCAGGTGGACATGCCCGGAAAACCTCACCAGGGAGGCGTCCAGGAATCATCCTGATCAGAGGCCTAATCCTCAACTGGCAAGTGGAGGAGTACTCCTACTCCTAGCCCCTCCTGTATGACCAAGCTTGTCCTCCTGTCTCTAAGGGAGAGTCCAGCCACCCTGTGGAGAAAGCTCATTTCGGCCGCTTGTATCCGCACTACCCAAAGCTCACGACCATAGGTGAGGGAAGGAATGTAGATTGACAGGTAAATCACTAACCCTAACCCTTCACCACGACAGACCGGCACAACGCCCTCATCACTGCAGATGCAGCAGCAATCTGCCTATCAATCTCACGTTCCATCTTTCCCCAGGATATTTAAACTCCAAGGCCAACAACATCCAGAGACTTAAGGGATCCTGGAGAAGGTCTTCTATTGTTTTCCAATTGAAGACCATGGTCTCAAATTTAGAGGAGCTGATTCTCAACCCAGTCGCTTCACACTCTCCTGCAAACTGCTCCAGTGAAAGCTGGAGATCAGGTTCTCATGAAGCCAACAGCACCACATCATCTGCATGAAGCAGAGACCTGATCCTTTGGCCACCAACACAGATGCCCTCAACACCTTGACTGCGCCTGGAAATTCTGTCCAAAAAAGTTATGAATGGAATCAGTGATAAAGGGCAGCCTTGGCGGAGTCCAACTCCCACCGGAATCAAGCACGACTTACAATGGGGAATGGAGACCAAGCTCTGACACAAGTCATACAGGGACCTAACAGCCCATTTCAAAGGTCTGGTACCCCATACTCCCAGAGGAACTCTGGGCAGATCTCATCCACCCCTGGGGCCTTGCCACCAAGGAGTTTTTTTGACCACCTCAGTGACCTCGGCCCCAGAGATTGGAGAGTCCAACCCAAAGTCCCCAAACGCACTGATTGTGCAGAAAGTCTTTTTTTCTTTCTTTCTTGAAAACATGTTTCTATTCTAAATGAAGGTGATGTTATTGTTTATAGAATTCATGTAGCAGTTCAGATTATTTCATTAAGTAAGACTTGTGGTCTCACTTAAAACTTGTAATGCTTTTGGATCCTGTCACTTGAAAGAATCGGAATCAGGAATCGATTGGAACCGGAATTGAAACGAGGAATCTGAATCAGAATCAAAATTGTTCAAATTCAAACTATGCCCAACCCTAGTGCTCACTCTGTTGCGTTTTGCAGACAATATAACAAAGATAGTTAGTGATTTCTCTCTTTAATCAGTTTTCAAAACCTAGAACATTTAAACCTTTTAAACATGAATTCATTTGTAGTATTTATTAAATTCTTAATTAAACTTTTTACCATAATGAACTTAATAATAAATTTTGACCTAAAGACCTCACAGAGTATTAGTAAGAATTATCTAAGGGAAAATGTAATTTAGCCGCTACTGGAAACAAATTAAACATGACATTTTTTCCCATTATTAACTTAAACTGAAGTAGTTGTAATTTTGCATAGATAATGTTAAAAGCTTAAGTATGCATGATGGGAGATAAGTGATGTTAGCAACCTAAATGATACATTTTTTATTAGGCAGGGACCCCACATATATTGATATCAGTTTATATTGAGAAGTTTAATGAGAAATTAAAGTCAATAGTACAATATAATATAACAAAGAAACATTTGAGGTTTACAAGCAAACACACAACTTACACAATGCTAAGAATGAGTGCAGGCAGAAGCATAAGCTTATAAGCCCAACCCCCCAAACCCTTTGAACTTAAACAAAATTTTAGAATAGCATACCAGTTCCATAATTTTTACATCATGTTTGAAATGTATGGGAATATATTCAAATCCCCATTCTAGCTTTATAAAAAAAATAATGACCTTTAATGTTTTATGCATTTTTTTCATTGACTTGATTCATAATATTTAATCACATTTGATTTAAACATACCCTTAAACTTTACCATTGTTGAACAATCTTTTTGCTCCTAGTCTAATTTATTCCACACATCAACCCCAA